CCCCAAACCCCCAAAACCCCAAAACCCCAAAACCCCAAAATAAAATAAAAATATTGAACTTCTTTAGTAAACATGAACAAGAAATTAGGAATGAAGCAAGGCAATATTCTAAAAATTTTGCAGAGTATAAACCAAAGTAACCTTGAAAGCTCTAAAATCCTAAGTAAGTCAAGACTTGAAGCTAAAAGAGCTTGAACTCAAACAAGGAGGAAGAATAGGAAACAATTACGACCTAATGATACAAGGTCTAGTTATTTGTCTGTTAGTAAGGATCCTCTTAGTAGTCCAAAAGAGGTACCCAAAGGAGGGAGCTTTCAGATAAATCTGCCTAACCCTTCATGCTCCTTCCAGAGGAGTTTTTGGAAGAAAGATAATAATGTCTTCTGTTCTGTTAGCCAGTGGTCACATCCTTCCAGTACTGCTACTCTCCAAGAGGAGCATAATTGGGGGAAATGGAGAACAGAAGAGGAGTTTCGGGGTAATACTCTGAAAGAAATTATTCCTCCTCCACCTACTGTGGAAGAGAGGGTCAATATCGAAATGAGATGTTCAGGGAAGGAAGTTATCCAATCACCTAAAAAGAAGAGGAAAAACACTCTTGACCAAGAAAGCCCTCAGATAGATTCAGATAAACCTAATGGTAGTAAAAACTTATGTAAATCTCGAGGAAGTTCTCCTGTAAAATCGGAAGGTTTACTTGCTTCAAAATAATGAAATAATGAATTCTTCAAAGCAAACTAGTAAAATTGAGCTTATATCTGACTGTAATGAGTCTAAATAATTCCCTGGAAAGAGATAGAACAACCCATCTGAAGAGAATGACAAAGATGATAAGTTTCAATCTTAGTGAACTTGAAGAGCAAGAGAATAAAGAAAATGAGAGCCAAGAAATTCCGAAATTAGTAACTTCTCAAGATAATTCTCCATTTAAGAATGCTTCATATATGGAGGAGAGAAGTAAGCCTTCTATCAAAATTAAAACTGAATTTGACAATTTTGATAGTGCTGAGGCTGACCTGGATACAAATGGATATGTCAGAAACAAACTTCCTCGGCTCAAACAAAGCAAGAGTATCGAGAGGCTTAATACCCCAAGATCATTAAAGAATAATCTGATAATGACTCAAAATTTCAAACTGATTGGTGCAGCTTTTTCAAAGTCACTAAAGACCAAAGTCAATAGACCTATGGTCAGACATCGGAATCACTTTTTAGGTAAGTTTGTGTTTAATACCTTCAGAGACTTTTACAAAGAAGAGGTCTGGAATATCTCTCAGTCTTGCAAACACAACCCAGCAGCCAGAGCAAAGCAGTAATAAGCTCTTCCATAGGCACCTATCCCCAAGCTTGAGGAAGAACTTTGAAACTTTCGTAGAACAGAACAAAAAGAAGCGAATGAAAGTGACTGGAACACTTAAAAAGATCCTCAGTAATTCAGTGACTAGCCAACACAACCAGAAGAGTTTTAAAAATCTCCATAGCCTCATGAACCTCCAAAGTAAGATCACTGAGTCTGAAGAAGATGAAGAAATTAAGAAGAGAATTAAATAAGAATCAGCACTTGTTAAGATTCCGGAGGGAAATCAGGGAGATTTATGCCACCAAGAAAGAGCTACTGGACGTGTCAATGCCGGCCTACCCTCAGTATTTAGGATATTTCTTCAGAAAATGATACTGGGATCATAGTCTTGATCAGCAACAAGAGGAAAGCACATCCTGTGTTTCAGAAATGTTTCAAAATGATGGAGAATATAAGGCATTTGAAAAATGCCCAATAAGTGTAAACAAAAGCGAGCCTGATTTGAGAGGAAGAATCTCATGGGATTTAGATGTTCCTTTACTCCCTTCTTTATCTAAAGAATGGGAAAAAATCCATCAAGATCATTTGATTGAAAGTTTGCAAAGCTATCAATATCTAAATGACTTGAGAACTCCTGAGGAAGCTCCAAAAATCTGAAAGGATGATTATATCACACCTATACCAGGAAAGAAGTTGCTGGTCTTTGATATGGATGAAACCTTAATCCATTGTATCTCTGATGCTGAGCCAGGTCAGAAATGTGATGTCAAGATTCCAGTAAACTGCTTTGATGAGATAAACTACAAACATATCAACCTCAGACCTTATGTAAGAGAGTGTCTTAAAGAGCTGACATGATGCTACCAAATAATTGTGTTTACAGCTTCAATCCAGGAGTATGCTGACCCAATTTTGGATTATCTTGATAAAGACAAACTAGACAATGGTAAGTCAATTTATCTAGAGATATAGGCCAAGGGCTTATTAAGAAGCGGTACTACAGACGACACTGATACAAGACCAAAGATAACTGCACTATTAAAGGTAATTTCCTGCCAGAATCTCTAGATCTTCGAATTTTCGAACCGATGGGATACAACCTGAAGGATGTAATTTTAGTAGATAATGCTACCCATTGCTTCGGATTCCAGGTCACTAATGGAATCCCTATGGTCCCATTCTATGACTCTTCAGAAGATCGGGAAATGATTCATTTACTGCATTATCTTCAAAAAATTTCTAAAGCTCATGATGTCAGGCCAATTTTGGAGAAGACCTTCCTTTTACCAAAATTAAGGAAGAACACAATATTGGAAAGCATCGAAGGAGTCATTGAGCAGAGAGTTGAAGAAGTTGATGATGACTTCTTCCTTGAAAACCAGATCCATACCGTAAGCTAAAAGGTTAACCAACTAGTTTGAAGAGGACAAAACGCTTTCTAGAGGTACTTCCTCTAGCTGAGGGCTAGAGGAGCATTTCTCTGAAGGTGTTGGAGAGGGAAAAATAAACACCTTGATGAGGACTCTGCCAAAATCACCTCCACTTAATTCATCTATAGTAATATCTTCTTCAATAAATTTAGGCCAATCTTGAATCTAAACAAAGCCAGAGTTCTGCCACAGGAGATGAGATGGTTAATGACGAATTTGAGATTGTAGAGACAATTGTTATTGAGTGTTAACATTTCCTATAATATCTTTCAAATTCTTGAGTTTAGACAGGGGTTTTGGGGTTTTGGGGTTTTGGGGTTTTGGGG